GCCCCCCCCCCCCCCCCCACAAACTCTATTAGGCCACTGAAGGTTTTTAACAAAAGTTCACACAGATTCCACACAAAAAAAATATTATTATAATCTGTGTGAAGTGAATCCATGCCGCGCGAGAGCTCTTCAATAAAACGAATTCAACATTATTTTGTGGATTCTAGGACACATGGCAATCCACAGTTGATTTATTTTTTATTATTTTTTCTTAAAAGTCAAAAAAAAAAATAAAAAAAGTAATTTGAGGAATCTAGTCCATCGAATTCACGGATGGACATGTTCTTAGTGTCACTCGTCATCCCATACGTGGTCTCTCTCTCTTCCTTGGGAAGGCTTTCGGTGCAGCCTACTACGCCATCATCCAGCGGCTAGTTTGGCCAGCCTTCTTGGTCTTCATCATCACTTGTTTCATTTGCCCATTGTCCATACGCCTCATCATACATGTTCGTAAGGTTGAATATGACAGACTTTACTTGGTCGGCCACAAATTGATGGAGTACGACACTGACACCGATTCGTACGTATGTGACCGTGAAGCCTTGAAGGCATCACGTCGGAGACAAGGGATGCACGCACGCACGCGTTAGATTTTACCTTTGCTTTTACTTCTTTGATGACTATTTTAATTCTCGAACGTTAGATTTTGTCCCAAGTAATACTATTTTTAGAAACTACGATTACAAACTAGAGTTTCCAATTAAGTCAGATCATGAGAAAGACTTTCTCATATGAGATGAAAGATGAGATTGTCTGAGAAAGAACCACAAAGACAAACACAGGTTAAAAAGAACACCCCGCCAACAAGTACTCCGACAGACCTTTGATAACTATATTAACACCTGGTGTAGAAATCGTTTTAAAAGGTCAGACCTTACAAGCACGAACCGTCCAAAGTTGGTTCTTGAAACTATATACTATCTTATTTATATCAAAGACTAACTCAGCAAACTATCAATATCATAGGCAGAAAAGACGAAACTATTTGAAGTGACCAAGTCCAAATAATGTCGGCTTTGAAAATACTTAATACTTGGGAAAGAATTATAGCAGCATTTCCTAGCTTCTGCACTTAAAAAAAATTGTTATTACAAATCATGCAGCAAAAGTTGGGCTACATTCATGCTCTGTGCCTCGAACGTGCAGCAAAAGTTGTGTAAGTTGGGCTTAGATTCATGCTCTGTGCCTAAAATCATTCAGCTAAATGAACGAAACTCAGATAACCTGTTGGATTCCTTTCATGACTCCTTCCATTGAATCAATTAGCTTCACATGGCCAGCACAAGTACCAATCACATCTTGAAACTGGTAGGAATGAAAGCTCTGTCTAGATCACCAAGAGATATACTAAAGGGAGAACCTAGCCTCTCTTCACGAGAAGCACATGATATCTAAAAGGCATAACGTAAATATTTGAAACAAACACACAGGAACTAACTAAACAATAATGAAATGTTTTGTTTTACCTGTCGAATTCAGTAATGATATCTCCTTTGGCATCAAGTCTTTTATTTCTGAAAGAGCATTGTATGAGCTTCCTAGTTTGTTGAACTTTCTCCTTTTGAACGAACATAAAGGTTCGTCAATCAATAAGCTTGCAAGTTCATTTTCGACCATTAAACAAACATGCAAATCAGTTTGACTCTTCACATGATACTTTCCATATTTTACAACATAACTAAAGATGCTCGTCAAAATAGAGGGAATGGGGGTTGTATCAGATTCATTGTTGAGATTCAACACGAAGCAATACAAACTAATAGAAAGTGGTACATACAGGGCATCATCATCTTTGAAGTAAGCAAGAAATACTAAATCTAATTGTTATTTGTTAGTAAGTGATTAATGAAAATTTTACCAAAAAAAAAAAAAAGTGATTAATGAAAATAGATTAGTAACATCCCAAAACATCTAATCGGTGCCCACACGTCTTAATTTAATTGAGTGAGGTGGCACCGAGTGCGAACAACGGTGAAGGCAAAGTACAATGGGAATTAAACCTTGTGTATATATTGAAATGTGTCACATTTACACGTAAGAGAGACTTAGATTCGGACATGTTAATAAAAAGTCCGTTGAAAACTCAGACATGTTAGAAGCCCGTGAAAATAGTTTAACGATGATTGTTAAAATTTACCTGTGAATGAACAGTCGGCTCCATTATTATGATGACATTAATCAGAAATGAGAATATATTCCATGCCCCACCAACCAGCCATCTTTTGAGAGTTCACACGATGCGTGCCTTTTATTTTTTTTTGCTTGTTGGTTGGACGGACAGGATGACGAGTTCTATTCTAAGACTTCCTTTCACTGTTGTCATTTGAACCGAGTATTTCACAATTATATAACAGAGAAACGAGTCGAGAATTGGAAGCATGAAACACATGTGAAACGAGCAGCAGAAAGCTAACGTTGATTCTTATGTGTTTAAAAATGCTTAATAAAGGCAATAACTCGTATGAATGGAATGGTTTAACCTTTTTCTACCAAACCAAGAACAATTGTTTTTATTAAAAATGTAGTCATTCTCATTTGTTTTTGCTGTCTCTCGTTACCAACGAAGCCGTCCGTGTATATGGCTCTCGGACAAAAGTTTTTTTCATCATTTAAGATTTAATATGCAGTATTTGATCAAAAATATATATATATATATATATGCAGTAATGAGTAGATATTGTATGCAATAAGGTTATATATTGAATTATGGGTTTTTTGTTGGTTATACCACCTAATTTCCCTTGTATAGATGACATACTTTCTATCAATAGTACAAAGTAACCAATAAATTTATATACAAAGAGAAAACATGTATACAACTTTGAATATCGCAGTCAAGGTTTTTCAATGGTTGGGTAAAAGAATGAGGCCTGTTGAATGAATGAATTCACTGCATTTTTTGTTATAATCTCTTCATTACGCCGACCATTTCGATTAAGCTTTTTGACCACGCATATAATCGAATATGTATCTCTACAAAATTAATTTTAAAAGTATTTATTCAGATTAAACTAGACGATATTTACATAAAATTTTGGTTAGGTAAATTTGGGCTAGAAGTAGAATGAATATTCGGTTAAGCTTCGGTTTAGTCCCTCTCTCTCTTATAAAACAAAACAAATCTTCAATCTTCCTAAAACCATATCTTCTATGGCTGCAATCTCTCCATCAAGCAACACACTTGAGATCATTCATGGCGCTAAACGATTCCACTAATTGATTCTCTCTCTCCATCAATAAATAAACTATGCAAAGCCCTTCAACGGCAACCCAGGACTCATCCTCCTCCTCCTCCTCCTTTAGTTTCCTCACACGTCTAACCGGTTTAGCCTCCAGAAACCGATCTCCACGCTCCAACTCAGATGTGTACACTCTCTCAACCTCCAATGCCTTGTTCTTCAACGCCTCTCGGAAGACTCTATCACCCGCCCCAAGGACGCGAAAGGCCCTAGCTTCCATGAGCTTGAACACCTCCAAGAGCAGTAGCTTGAATAGATTTATCAATGAATTTAATAGCTTTATTAAGTTTCACTGTGAGAAAGTTGTTCCTGATAGCTTCGCCTCTGTTGGGCTTTCGAACGGAGTTAGGAGGGGGAATGATAGTGGTGGGGTTTTGGGTGAGGAGGGCTTGCCGTTGAATGGAGTTGAAGATGATAGGCCTAAGAAAGTTTTGATTTTGATGAGTGATACTGGTGGTGGTCATAGAGCTTCTGCTGAAGCTATTAGAGCTGCTTTCAATCAGGAGTATGGGGATGAGTATCAGGTTCGTGTCTTTTTCTTGAAATTGGAAACAAGAATAGAAAAGTTTATGACTTTATTGATTTTGTCATTGCGTTACATTCACTTTTTTTGTTCTGTCTGTAGATTAAAGTTTGTAACTTGGGGTAGTTGTGTACGTTATGTAGTCTGGTGTTTGTTGTTGATTTTTTTTTCTAAGTAGATTAAGAGTGTTTTGTGCAGGTGTTTATTACGGACTTGTGGACAGATCACACACCCTGGCCATTTAACCAGCTTCCTAGGAGTTATAATTTTCTGGTGAAACATGGAGCTTTATGGAAGATGACTTACTATGGTACTGCTCCACGCGTTATTCACCAGTCTAACTTTGCAGCAACTTCGACTTTTATTGCCAGGTGAGAGGCTTTTCTCTGTTTTGTATGTTTTAACTATCAGAAGAAGATTCTAATAAAGAATGGATGTTCTAACTTTTTTTTACAGGGAAATTGCTCAAGGATTGATGAAGTATCAACCAGACATTATAATCAGTGTTCATCCGTTGATGCAACATGTCCCACTTCGTGTCCTAAGATCAAAGGGTTTACTTGATAAAATAGTCTTCACTACGGTTATTACAGACTTGAGCACTTGTCATCCCACATGGTTTGTTTATTTACCAACTCGGTTGTGTTTACTATGGACTCTTTTGTGAAAGTGAAGTTGCGACAACACGCTTGCTTTGATGTTTAGGTTTCACAAGCTTGTGACAAGATGTTACTGCCCTTCAACAGAAGTGGCGAAAAGGGCACAAAAAGCTGGACTTCAAACATCACAAATCAAAGTTTATGGTCTTCCTGTTCGACCTTCCTTTGTCAAACCAGTTCGCCCCAAGGTCAGTTTTAAACGTTTTCCTTTCTTGTCTGTCCTTGTTGTTTCAAACAATAGTATTGTTTTCAACAGGTTGAGTTAAGAAGAGAGCTAGGAATGGATGAGAATCTTCCAGCTGTTTTGTTAATGGGCGGAGGAGAAGGAATGGGTCCCATAGAAACAACAGCAAGAGCTCTTGGAGAGGCTTTGTATGACGAGACTCTTGGTGAAGCAGTTGGTCAGGTTCTTATAATATGTGGACGGAACAAGAAACTCCAAACCAGATTAAGTTCCATAGATTGGAAAATACCAGTCCAGGTACTCTTTCCCAACTCTTCAAACCAGATTAGCAAATCTCAGGTTGAAACGGTTTTCATTTTTGTCTCAGGTTAAAGGGTTTGTAACAAAAATGGAGGAATGTATGGGTGCCTGTAACTGTATCATAACAAAGGTAAAACCATATAGTTTTACATTCCTAGTCTCTCTCTCTTGCGCAAAATGAAATGGTGACATTAGGATGGGCTGTTTCTTTGTGCAGGCAGGTCCAGGAACCATAGCTGAAGCTATGATAAGAGGGCTACCAATAATCTTAAACGGTTACATTGCTGGTCAAGTAAGTTCAACTTCAAATCCCTTCCCATATATTATATTCGATTCATGTTTTTCCAATATTGTGGGGTTTTGAAACTTGAGTGCAGGAGGCAGGGAATGTACCGTATGTGGTGGAGAACGGATGTGGAAAATTCTCAAAATCACCAAAAGAGATATCGAAGATTGTAGCGGACTGGTTTGGACCGGGTTCGAAACAGTTGGAGATAATGTCACAGAATGCATTAAGGCTAGCTAGACCAGAAGCTGTGTTCAAGATAGTGCAAGACATGCATGAGCTTGTCCGGAAGAGAAACTATCTTCCTCAGCTCTCTTGTACTGCCTAGCCTAGTAGATGTTGTTGTAGTAGTAAACTTGTAACTCTTATTCATTCAATCAAAACCCTACTTTTTCTTTTGGTTCTAGGCAAGAATGTAGTAACAATTATACAGTAACTTTTTGTTTTGTTATTATTACACCCTTAATGCGAATGCTTAAGGTCGATTGATCACTTTTGAATAATACTCCTGTTTCTTTTTATAAAATGTTTTGAAAGTTTTTATTGTTTTTTTTTTGGTGTAATAATTCTTATAAAATATTTTAGAAAGTTTAAATTGTTTCAAAAATATAAGATGTTTTAAGATTTTAAAGTATATTTTGAAATTTTAAAGTTAACTTTATTTTTATTAGAAATTGTTCAACCAAAAAAAAATTTTCAATTTTCTTTTTATAATTGGTTGAATGGTTTTAAAAATGTATCATTAAAAATACTTTTTAAAAAAACATAAATATTTTAATCTGCATGCAATCAACCAAAACAACTTATAAAAAGAAACGGAGGGAGTAGTAATTACCCTGTTAAAAAATTCTTGATTTTTACTATTTTCATTTTCCAATATTTTCAAAACAAGTATAATTCAATAATCTTAATTAATTTTATTGAAGTTTACAATTTTTACATAGAACAAATTTTTTAAAAAAAATTGTAACAGCAAAAATGGCAAAATAAATAAATAAATAAAATATATACAAAAGGGTTTCGAACTTCTTGTCCTTTTAGTCCTTAATGTATCAACAGCATTCAGCAGTTCGCCTCCTCCCTCCCAGAACATCACCAGGTAAACCCTAAACTCACTTCTGTTGCTGATAGGTTTTGTCTTTGTCTTAGATCTAAGTTCATCAACTGTTTAACAAAAAAGGCAGAAGCTTTTAATCTTATAAAGCTCAAATCTTTCTCAATTATCTGATTAAGTGATTAATCCATGTGTTTAGGTTAAGGCAAAAGAGTAGTAGCAAAAGATGTTGTACATTATAGGGTTAGGTTTAGGAGATGAAAAGGACATAACCCTGAGAGGACTCGAAGCTGTCAAGAAATCTCAGAAAATATACATGGAAGCTTACACTTCTCTCTTGTCCTTTGGTCTCTCTTCTGATGGTCTTTCCAATCTCGTAAGTCTCTCAAATCCTCCCGTAGTTTCACTTAGTTCGCATTTAAAGGTTATGTCTTTTTTTTTTCTCGAACAGGAAAAGTTTTATGGGAAACCAATCACACTTGCTGATAGAGAGATGGTGGAAGAAAAGGCAGGGAATATGATTGAAGAAGCCATTGATAATGATATTGCTTTCCTCGTTGTTGGTGATCCCTTTGGGTATGTTGAAGAATCTAATTAGAACGGTGTCGTCTCAACACTCTGTTAATCTGTTTTATGTTTTTTTTTTTTTGCAGAGCTACAACGCATAGTGATCTTGTTGTTAGAGCTAAGAAACTCGGTGTAAAAGTAGAGGTAGTTCACAACGCATCTGTCATGAACGCTGTTGGAATCTGTGGTCTACAGCTTTACCATTACGGAGAAACAGTTTCAATCCCATTCTTTACCGACACTTGGAGACCTGATAGCTTTTACGAGAAGATCAAGAAGAACCGTGCTCTTGGACTGCACACGCTTTGTTTGCTTGATATAAGAGTGAAGGAGCCTACTTTTGAGTCTCTTTGCAGAGGAGGGAAGAAACAGTATGAGCCGCCTAGGTATATGTCTGTTAATACAGCGATTGAGCAGCTGCTTGAAGTTGAGGAGAAGCGTGGAGAGTCTGTTTATGGTGAAGAGACAGAGTGTGTGGGGTTTGCTAGGCTTGGCGCTGAGGATCAGAAGATTGTTTCGGGGACGATGAAACAGCTGGAGAGTGTTGATTTTGGAGCTCCGTTGCATTGTCTTGTGATAGTTGGTAAGACTCATCCTGTGGAAGAAGAGATGTTGGAGTTTTACAAATTAGAAGCTGCAAATTAAGAGACCACAGGAACTGAAGAATGTCTCTCTGAAGAAGAAGAGATTGAAACTAGGAACCGATAAGTGAAACAGGTTTCTTTATGTTTTCGTTTGTGGTGTTTTGATGACTATGATGTGGCTTTAACTATGAGAGGGTGTGTATTGAAATATTCATTTGGCTCGAGTTTTGGGCGCATGCACTTCTTTGTTTCAGTAAGAATTTCAGTTTGGGATTTTATTTATTTGATTTGGCTTGGTTTGGGTTTAGGAAAAGAGAACTTCTGTCGGTTTGTTATGGTTCGGTCTGTTTCTTGAAATCAATCATCTTCGGTTAAGAAGATTGTATTAAAGCCTACACAATAGATCAATTCGATGATTCAGTATAAGTGTTCTTATAGCCTATGTTATTAGGTTTCTTAAGCAATTTAAGGCTCCTATATATGTTGAGTTGTGTAAGTAACCTTGGCTGCCTAAAGAGCAGCCTCTTTCCATTTATATGAATATCACAATCTATAATCATTTTCATCTTGGTGACAGTTTAATCTTCTTCATTTAGTTTACTTTATAAGCATATGAATTAAGCTCTTTGAACTATTTATATTTTCACTAAATCTCTAGTGACCCCAATCTAGCTTGCTAAGAATTTTCCTTCAGATTCTACGTTTGTTTTTCCCTTAAAACTGAAGTAAGAAAATTATTATCGAACTTTGGTCTTACTGAACACGACCACGATTTTAAAAACCTGACTTTTCAACAAGAGTATTCCACTCCCAAGTCATTTTATAATTTGACGAAGAGAAAGAACAAAGAAGACTAGGATAAAGGCGTGTGCATGGTGATGCAAATAGGATGACGTATGGTTACTTGCGTAACGGAGGCTAATGGATAATGAAATCACGACCCTTCCACTATTAATAAAAGACATGGAATTATGGTGTTTGGCTAAAAGTCCCATGACTTTGAGCAAATAGAGATACTAGTCATTCTTATACTAGTTTCAAATGACCTTACAAAACAACAACAAAAAAACTAGTCTTTAGTTGTACTTTACAAACACATAGTTAATTGTATTATTATCTATAGCAATCTCTTTTTCTTTGGGGATTGAATCCAAATTAGTATTTAAGAACACTCCAACTAATACAGTATTCAAAATAGTTTGTATATAAATCTTAGTTAGCTTGGCTTTTCATCAACTTGAGTCTTTCTATATAATATCTCTATGCATATATGATTGTTGTTACTAGCTCAAAACGAATTATCTAGAATCAAAACAACCAAATTGAATTGGATCGAGTAAGCATAAATATTCGAATAGTTTTAAAATATTTAAAATAAATAAACTAAATTTCGAAATTAAATAAAAATGAACAGATATCTGATTACATTTATAGGTAGTAAAGATAAAACAAACGTAAGGTTACTACATCATGAATAGAGATGCAGAGTAGTGACGCCATTATGTTGACGTCGTCATGTAGAATATCCGAGAGAGGGCTTTAGACGAGGACTTAAAAAGATGGTCTTATATTATATCACTACTCCACGTCGCATCAATAAATTACACGTCTACAAACTACTATTTGATTTTTCCAACCATTTACGACTTATGTAACTATTTTTTCCACGAACACTAATCATTTTCTTCATCATCAACAATATTATAATCTCGTGTGGGCAATATTTTTATTGGTCGTGAAATGGTTGCGATATAGCATCACATTTCCTAGGATCAACTAACAATGTGGTATAAACAAGACTAAGAAGATTGAGTCCAATGTAATAAAATGGGCGAGTGTTTTATTTTAGTGAGGATTCTGTCATTGGTTTTTACTAGAGTAGAGAATGAATCCCCCCGTCATAAAATTTTATTTTGGTCCCACCATTAGTTGGCTTTTTATGTTGACTATTCTCTGCTTGTTTTATTAGTCGATGAAATTTTCAACAGGCCAGTATGAACCCGCAAAATGTACTTAATGTACTTCAAACCTATAGAAAACTCAATATTTTCAGCATCAGATTACACAAACCTACAGAAAAAAAAGAAGAAATTTGACTGATTCAATATGATTTGCGATTTGCAAAACTCATATTTACCCGTTTCTAGTAAGTTGTTTTAGTATGGAGCAACTAAATATTTCAGAATCTTCATGCCACTAGTGGTTAATTTGTATTCTTGTGTTTGGAATAATTAAAATAAGATGACACTAACTAATCAACTTTGAACAAACAAACAAACAAAAAAGTGGGGATATGAAGGACAAGAAAAAAAAAGTCCGTGTCGGAGCCGCCCAAGGTGGCAACTTGTTCACACCATAAGAGGCCTCTCTTATGCTGGAAGTCGTGGTCGAGTCTGGTCAAGATCTGTTGCCCTTTTCCCGTGTGGGTCCTCTTCTCTGTTCTTTTCTCCCCCAAAACTTCCACGTTTTTGTATCATCCTCCTCCATTTTTATTTTCGACTATATTTTAATATATTAAGTTATCAAGGACTCATCGATTAAGTCATCATACATATACATATATTCATTCATTAATTAGTGATTATTGTACTCAAATATGAAATAATTATCAAATGCTACCTTTTTCATAAGTTTGATATGATGTATTAAATTATTAAGGTTTTCTCAACAACTAGGACAAACCATTATTGCAATATAAACAGCTTAACGGGTTTTATCCTATACTTTCAGTATTTGATTATTTCTGGTAATAATAGAAAAAGAATTTGCCGACATCCGAATCGTAGTCACTGGGTCAATCAAGTCAAGGGAAAGTTCTTAATTACTGAACTCGTTACCTCATTATTAGGATCTGGACGAATCAAATATTATTTTAAAAATATTTTTTATCAAACAGAACAGAATAATTAAAGGAAACACGGACCCTATTAAAATTTATGTAACGTACACAATTTTCTTCAGCATGGGGCAATGCCGCCGAAATTGTTGAAGCTCAATTTTGTTTTGTCGGCTGTTGAATCCTATTTACTTGCTTGTTTTTCATGATTAATCGTTATCGTTCATTTTAGTTGGATTGGACTCTGGTTTTGAGACTTTATAGTTATATATTTCAAGTCTTTGGACGGTTTACTTGAGAATGTCGTATAATCTAATTCGACCTACTTATCATTTAATTTACTCCCTTTTATCATCATGACTATTTTTTTGCTTGTACAACTAACTATATACTTAAATCTTGATATTTAGAAAGAGTGTACAAAAAATTTATAAACTAATATTCAATAAAAAAAATACTAATTAAATAATAAATTTGTTCAGTTTCCAAATTAAACAAACTATGACACAAATCGAAGATAATAAGATATGTAAATACATGATCTTATTAAAATCATAAACTAATCATTTATGTATAAAAGTTAGATAAATACAAACAAACAATACATTGTTTGTATAAAATCAATCACTGTAATTCCATAGACAAAAGTTTCTTGTTTTATATTCACAATGAAGTATTTCTAAATGTATTATTTGTTTTATATTCATAATGAAATTATATTTATATTTATTAATCCTTACATAATAATAAAATTGTATCTACAAACCACATTTAAACTTTAAGAAATATGACAAGAAAATATATATATATATATATATATATATATATTTATATACACTAAATAGTATTATAAAGGTATCAACTATTTGTCATGTTTTATACAAAATATAATTTAAAATGGACTAATCTATAAAATTTTTTTTTTATAAATTAATAAATTATCATCATTTTTAATTTATAGAGTTTTTATAGTATGTTTTTGTTTAACAAAGTATTCTAAGAATTTATTTTGCATCATAGTATATAATATAACGTAAGACTTATTCCACGTGGAAAGCTTTATACACACGTAAAGCTATTGTTTTTGCATAATGTTTTTGCATAAACCCATTGATTTAGCCAATCACTGTAATTCCATAGACCTTTCTTTTCTATTGTCTTGTTTTGCTTTATCTTTTTCCCTCAAAGTCTTTAATGTATTCTATAGACTTTATGCTCTTTAGATTTTATCGTCACGTTCCAACGACTTTCCTTCCTAAAACAAATCCAAAAACCTCTTTCTTTATGTTATTTGCCCACAGACAACTCTCTCTAGTTTATGTATATATAAAGAAGCCATTCTAAGTACTACTACTCATTCATTTCGGACCACCAATTTGCGATCGAAGAAAGCAAATCAAGACTTAAGTCTTTAAAACAATAATTAAATAATATTTTTCAATGGACTGTTCTTCGTTTCTCGACATATCTCTCAATCTCAACACCAACACTCTCGATCGTAGTTTCCCAGCAAAACTTCCGGTGAGTCCAGACTTCCCATGATCTATGTCATTTGTATTTTTTTTTTGTTTCCTTTCGATTTTTTGTTGATTAGAGTTCACATTTTCAGAAGAAAGAGGTCAAGGTTTCAAATTCTCCTAATTTGGAAAGGAATTGGTTAGTCAAAGACGAGGTTAGTTAGTGTGCAATATATTCGATTCTTTTTGCAAAGAAACTAGAAGAGTTCTTGGTGGTAATGGTTATATTTTTTAATGGTAATGAAACAGAGCGTAAGTGAGTTAAGAGAAGAGCTTAACAGAGTAAACTCAGAGAACAAGAAGCTAACAGAGAAGCTTGCAACAGTCTACGAGAGCTACTGCGCATTACATCAATATTTGGAGAAGCTTCAGAGTCGACAAAGCCCTGAAATGGATCAGATCGAACAACCGACAAAGAAAAGAAAACAAGATTCGGATGAGTCCTTAAGCATTCCTAATGGATTCAGTGATGGAAAAACTGACAACAGCTCTAGCAACGAAGATCATCATCATCATCATCAGCAGAATAATCAGCTTATTTCATGCAAAAGACCAGTCACTGATAGCTTCAACAAAGCAAAGATTTCGACAGCCTACTTTCCTGCTAATTCTTCCGACACAAGCTTGGTAAGGGAATATATTTGGTATTGTTGTTTATGTTTGTAATGGAGGCAGAAGAACTAAACAGAGTGTTATACTTTAAAATTACTCTGCAGACAGTTAAAGATGGATATCAATGGAGGAAATACGGTCAAAAAGTTACAAGAGATAACCCTTCACCAAGAGCTTACTTTAGATGTTCTTTTGCGCCATCTTGTCCAGTAAAAAAGAAGGTAAGTTACATACATTGAGTTTAATTTTCATTTGTAAATTTTTTATCCTCCTTCTTAAGCTGTCTAATAATTTGATATGTGGTTTGTTATGTTGTTGTTCAGGTGCAACGCAGTGCAGAGGATCCGTCAGTACTGGTAGCTACATACGAAGGGACGCATAACCATTTAGGTCCAAACGCTTCTGAAGTGGATGCTACAAGTCATGTTGGATCAAGAACTGTGACTTTGGATATGGTTAATGGTGGTCATAGTTTAGCTTTGGAGAAGAACGAAAGGGAAACGATGCAAGAGGTTCTGGTTCAGCAAATGGCGTCTTCGTTAACGAAAGATTCGAAGTTTACTGCTGCTCTTGCTGCTGCTATATCTGGGAGGTTGATGGAGCAGTCTAGAACATGAAGCTTTCAGTAAATGTTTATGTTTTGGTTTCTCATCCCTGGAAAGAGGAATCTCTTTTTTTTTTTTTTTTCAAAATTGATCTTGAGAAAATGATGGAAACGTTAGTGTACATAAATATTGTAACTACATGAAAAATCATAAACAATCAAAGAAAATTTAAATGTTAGTTGTTTTAGAATGGTTAGACGAAAGTTAGTGATCACATAATAAAAAGTGTACTTACTTTTTTTTTTGTCAACATCATATAATATAAAGGACTGAAACTGGTAATGACAACAGTAGGGCAAACTAGTAGACCACATATTTGAATCTGTTATGCACAACATATTTTGGTCTTAAAATACATGTTAACGTACTAAGAAGATATAGTTCAACAGAAGCCTCAGTGACAATAAGATCATGGCTCAACAGTTATACCAATCCTCTCTTTGATCATCTCAAGTCTCTGCCATAAGACAGCTAATATAAAGAATAAACAAGTCAAGTTCATTGCCATAACAAGGACAATAAAGGTTAGATAATTTCGTTACTTGCATCTTATCTACAAACTAATTAAGCTTCATGTATTGTTGAGTAGAAGTGAATAAACAAGTCCAGCTCATTTTAGTCACTGATGGTCATATCGAACCACACCCATCTGGTATATTAATACATAGCATCAAAGGAAAAGGAGTCTCACATTTGGTTTCAAAATAAGTTGGAGGTATACAAACTTGTACAAGTTGCCCAAGAAATGCTTACATTCTTCAATATTCCCTGTGCAAAAGTAAAATGGCAATACATCACCAAGTTTTCTCAGAAAAAAATACAGAATTTTTTAAGTAACCAAAAAAAGATTAGAATTCTTAAGAAGAATATACCAAAGGAGCAGAATTGAGAGAAGTCCAGCTTTTGACTTTTTAAGCTTTTCCTTCCACAAAACCTCCAATTACCGTAAAATACATCTAGATGAAGCCCACATGAGGCCCAAATAGATAACATATCTCACTAATCTCTCTCGCTTACGGCGTGGCGTACACAAGTGCGATTACGGGTCTTCAAAATTACGTAAATATCTCCATAACGTGTCGCGTAACACGAAAGCAAAAAACAGATTTGATATTCTGCTCCAAATACATTACATTAATCATAATGACACCGCAAATCCTATACTCCTTGTAAAAACTCTCTACAATTCTGTATGTGTATAATGAATAATTAGACGCTTCAATTTCTATATGAAATGTCTCCGGCGCCGGGACGACGACTTCACCTGGCCGTATATATCTTCTCAAACCTTGACCCCGAGACGGCATCAGCTGGAGTACATGTACATGCCGTGCTCTTGCTCTTGCTCTTGCTCAGGCCTTCCTTCTTCGATAACGATTGAGCTCGGTGACGAAGCTGCTGCAACAGAGCCCACACGGGGATGTGATTGTATCTGTGAGGAGCTGCTCAAAGTAGAGAACTACTTGCGCCAGCCACCACTCGTAATAATCGTTTTAAACTCATCATGAATACAATACAATGCTGTGTATTTGGAATGCCGTTTGATTCTTCGCCTAAGTTAAATCAAGTAGTTTTTCAACAATCTCATCTCAGGCTGAACTGAACGAAGACATATTTGCAACCATCTAATATCATCCACTCAATGACATCTTGGCAGGGAAGGTAAACATACAATCACATCCTGCACATCATTGGCATAATGTCTTTTTTTTCTTTCTTTTCTGGCTCACTGGATAATCCTTTCCAGGGGATCCTAATAGTATCAATGACTTGTTACAGTTTACTCGTGTATCTATCTACTTTTACTGACAAAGCTATATGGTTTTGTGCTGTTGTTCTGTTTCATTTCAGGCTGAATGAAAAATGGATGGACTTCTTTGGCTTGGGGGACATAAACTGTCTTGCCCCCCTAAGAACAAATTTTGTGGTGTGAGAGAGGATCAAAATCAGCTTCTTTGAACCGTTTGCTTCAGACTCAAGTTTCAGATGATGTGAGAAAAGTTCAAGTGGGTGGGTTTTTGAGGTATGAAGGTCTCTGTTATGGTTCTTTGATAGGATTTGAATCTTTTCTTGTCTCTTTTATTTGTATAGTATAGTGGCTAAGAACCGGGAACGTTTAGGATGTTCCTTTATGATTCTTATAAGTGTTCTGGAACTTGTCCATGATCTCCAGTTATAAGTGTTTTCCATGAGTCTCTAAATTAATGATTTTATAGCACCATCCAAACCGTTATCTCTGCACTGAGACAATTACTAATCATTTCTCTCACGTTTGAGAGTTCTCTGTCAGTTTTTCTATATCTGAACTTAACGAGTTGCTAGATCAACATGTTGATCCGAGTTTCTTCTATGTTGACAAAAGCTGACGACAATTGCTTTGATTTCAAGTTCGTTTTCTCTATGTTCAAATCCTTGCTTACGTTCCATCAAAAATGATGCTTGCAACGTGACTTGCTGCTCCTCTTTAGATTGCAAGTCTTTCAACCTGATTCACACGTCTTTCTGTTTGTGGTCTTATGGTTATGTTCTGTTTCTGGGCTAGAGAGGCTCCTCTAATTGCTGATGATGTATTTTAGACAGACAAATTACCAAGGTAAAAAAGCTTTGAATATAGAAATTCTTGGAGGATGTATATGGAAATTTTGCTTTGAACATCATCTCTCATCAGTTTTTGAACTGTGTATTGTTCAGAATGCTACTCGTCAGGACAGTGTTACCATATTCTGAGCTGTTCTGAAGATCTACAAATTAGCAAGTGGACAATACTTATCTACTTGGCTTATTTATGCTACGTGACTGCAACTGTAAGTGTGCTAATCTCAGTAATGTAATAGTTGTGAATCACTGTAAAAACACTTCATACCTATATCATTGGTGTAAAAGGTCTTGCAAATGCATTTGACCTATGACTGAATCACGTCCACTACACTTTCTCTCTTTGTAGGGTTCATGTTCGATCCAAAGTGAAACAAAAAACAAAAACAATCAATGTCACAAAAAGAAGGAAAAAAAAGATGCAATAGCAAAAGGTTAGTCTTGGTTTTTCAATTCAGAAGCTGCGTGTGATATTGTGCGTGGTCTCGTATCCATCCTCTCCAAAAGCTAGCTGCTTCTTACAACTCTACCTCCAAGGCATGTTTGATAACGGTTGTGTAGGGGAGTTGAAGTGCTATGTTAGACGAGAAAACCTCTCCCCACATCTCTCCATTTCTGTCTTCCAACCTTATCACTGTCACTGATATATCTTTGTCATTGGAGTTTTGCAGGATCACAAGGTTGCCAGACATGTTAAGCAGCTTAGTAGACCCTGAAGTGAATTCTGGAAGCTTATCCTCCTCCAAGCCTCTCAGGTGAACCCATGTGTTACCCTTCACGTGAACTTTCAGCTTGTTATCCTCCTCAAAGCAGAACAAATGGTTGTTGATGACACAGGAACTGTCATAACAGTGTTGTCCCAATCCTTTCTTGCTCATCCTCTTCATAGACTGATTTTTATGGTTGAACACTTTGCATCTCAGACCTCCTCCAGAGATAAAATATATCCTTTTTTTCATAATGAACACATTATCGAAGCTCGGATAGTTGGTGTAGTAGTTAAGAGGGTTTTGAAAGTTGACAGCTACCCAAACTTTGTTTTCGGCTATATCCATGGTTTTGAGGAATTTACTCGATGTATCATGCTCAAGCTCCCCTACTACATATAACTTCCCGTCTATGACTCCTAAAGGCTCTTCGCATGTGGTAGATGGAACCACAACGGAAGTGTAATTCCTACACTCTATATACAGATTCTCACTATTGTCGCAGCTAACAGCATAAATCCTTGAACCAGACGCGACCAAGTTATGGGATTTCACAGGTACCTCAGGAAACTCTGGAAGTGGATGCAAAACATATTCATCAACAAGAGGTTTCTTTCGAAGAGTATACCATTCAAGAACGTCCTTTTCTGACGTGAGAGAGATGTGTATCACGGTCTCAGACTTTTGAATCTTTGCCCTGTCGTCGTAGACAGTCCTTGACGTGATGAATTTATTATAATCTCTGGAAACTTGCGAAACCACGGGATGCACGGAGATTGAAGCCCTTGTAAAGATCACCTCGTTAATTTCTTTGGGGAAGACTTGCGTAACGTCGTCCTGCGTGATATCATTCATCTTTATGAAGAAAGAATTAGAAGATCAAGAAAAGGAGAGATAGGAATGAAGAAGATGGTGGATGAAGTTTTGAGGAATGAAAAATATTTGACTGACGCAACAAGAACAATGTTGAACTTGCGGAATCTTGAGAAAGAAAGAGAAGAGAGTTGCTGTTGCGGAAACTATTGTAGATTCTCAATATATATAGCTGCTGTTTTTTGCTTTCCCTATTTTTTTTTGCTAGCTAGTTGTTGTAACTTTTAGTCATTCCTCATGGTCATGGTCATTGACTCATCGATCAGCTACTAGTCAAAACAAAGGGAAATTTAAATACCCAACTAGTATTGAATAGAGGATAGATGAAATGGGCTAACTTCGGACAACATGTCAACAACATTCCCAGAAAGGCATGTCAACAGCGTTAGTTCTCCTCTTTGACATGTTCGCATCTCTTTGAGTCTTTGTGCAGATTGCTAGAAATGAGTTTTGTCTAATCGAAGATGAAAGTTACAACTTATAAATTTGACATTCTAATTTCTGACATTATAATCCCTAAACTTATAAATTTACACTAACAGAATGTTCAATTTTCTTACTAATTCAGAATTTTAACGTAGACATTTTTTTTTTTTTTTTTCAAATAAACCATTTAATATAACTACTAATTTAGTGTCTAATTTGTTTCATAAAATAAGTTACATTTCAACGTTAATAATATTTTATAATTTTTATTAGCATGTTTTGTCATATTAGCCGATCATGACTCATATGTATACAAGTTAATAAAGCATTGGTTTAATATCTGATGAAGTTGATAAATTCAAAGGCCAATTTAATAGAACAAAGTTATCAGTTTATGTTCATTTTCAGAGTGTGGACTCAATTTAAAATAACTTGTACACTATAGTTTTAATGTATTCTCATTTCATACGATCAATAATATGAACAACATCATTGAAAACGAAAATTATCAAAAGGAAACAAATATTATATTTAGTTACAAAAAAAGAAACAAATATTATTGAAAGAAACTAAAAAGACGGGTAGCCCATTTGATAATTTTCGTAATGTAAATGGGCTAATGGATAAGATGTCAACAACGGCCCATTACCTGCTTTTTTTTTCGTGTTTCTGATAAACCTGAAATGAGTTTCGTTAGTTCTCTTTCTCTCTAGACATGTTCGCATCTCTTCTCTTTCTGCAGATTGCTAGAATCAGAGAGTGAGATCGATACGTAAGTAAAAACACAGTTGAAAACGAGTTTTTATTATTATCGAAGACGAAAGTTGGAAGCTTCTGGTTACGGGCTTTCGTTTTTGTGAAGTAAGTCGTCGTTTTTTTCTATCGATCTTAAGGAGTTTTGTTGAACCTTAAAGTTTTGATCTTTGGTGATTGTAGTTGTGATATAGTCGTAAAGTTTTGATCTTTGGAGTTATTGGTTGTTGTGACCCTAAGGATTGGGATTGAAAGCGCAATGTAAGTTGTTTTTTTGGCGAATTGGGTTTTGTGTTAGCTACTACTACTTGGGTGAAATGTTTATTTGAGTTTGATTCTTGTTATGTGCAATACAGATGGCGTTCTCCATTGCGATTTATGGTGGGCTCCACGTCTTCCTCTGTTCCTTGTTTTACTTTGAGATTTTTGTGAATGATTAGTGTTTTTGAAAAGATTGTAATTTGATTTAAACGGGGGTTTGAATTTAGGGACGGGGAAGAAGTGGAATTGATAATGGAGCTGGTGGTGGTTGTTCTTGTTCTCGTAGTGTCACGACATTGATAGGTATGTCTTCTTAATACCATCCTTTTATTGTCTGTTTCTCTCTCTGTCCCTGACTCTTTATTATCTAATGATATATCCTTACTTACTTGGTTGGATTCTTAAAGATTTTGTGGCTTTAAAGTGAAAGCTTCCATGTGCAGGTAGTGATTTCATCCGATGCCAAGATGAGTCGACGAGGAAGGTCTTACAGGAGCAGATTGTTGATGCACTTTGTTCTGGAGAGAGGCCTGGAGCGTCTGCTCTACTTACAAAGCTAATACATGGGAATAATTCACTTAGTGCCGATGACTTTCATGGCATTCTTAAGTATTGTGCGCAATCACCTGATCCTGTGGTAAGTTGATAATATGAAAACAGCATCGGTTAGGCTTGTTCTTTTGATGAATGATTACACTTTATTATGTACACTATTTACATCTCAAGGAAGTAATTTGTTCATGCAGTTTGTCATGGAGACTTACAGTGCAATGTGTAAGAAGGAAATCAATCTTGACAGTAGATCTTTGTTGTTCAGTAGTACAAGCTCTTTGTAATGGAGGACACTTGGATAAGGTATAAGTATATTCAAATCTTAAATTCAGTAGTTCAATGTGCTTATCAAGATATTAACTTAGATCATGTCTATCTACATACACTAAAATCTGAGCTTATGTTAGATGTACAGATTAGAGGAGGAGTACTGGCACACTAAGAGTAGACTACTGTGGCTGAGAGCAGGAGATAGAAACACACACAAAATTCTTCCACTCAAAAACCAAGCAAAGAAGAAGCCACAACCGCATTCTACACTTGACAAATACATTTTCAGAGAGTGCTGATATTCACAGACAAGTGGAAGGTTATTTTCGAAACTTATATACTAGTGCTGATTTTATTATAGAAGAAGACACCATCACAAGAATACCTACTACTATAGATGATGGAACTAAACTCTGCACTGAATAAAATGGTAACAGAACAGGAAATTGAAGAAGCGGCGTTTGCAATCCACCCGGTCCGGATGGCATGAATGCAGGCTTTTTTCAGACATCACTGGAGTACCAGTAAGCAAAGTGTGATCTCCCATGTCAAGGTACTCTTTGAGCACAAGTATCTATATACTAAGATAAACCATACTCATATTTGTCTAATCCCTAAGATAGAAAACCCTTCTACTGTCAAAGATTTTAGGCCTATAAGTCTATCCAATGTAGCTTACAAAATAATCTCCAAGATTTTAGCAGATAGGTTTAAGCCGTGGCTCCACAAAATTATCTCAGAGAACCAATCTGCTTTTGTTATGGGTGGACAAATAACTGATAATGTCCTCATTGCCCACGAGCTCATGCATTCTCTGCATACAAGAAAACCTTAAAACCAAATACATGGCTCTGAAGTTGGATATTTCTAAGGCGTTTGACAAAGTAGAATGGAGTTTTCCTATTGCTGTAATGAGAAAAATGGGCTTCAATGAAGTATGGTGTAACTGAATCTATAACTGTATATCAACAGTGACTTACTCAGTGCTTATTAATGGAGAACCGACTGATAAAATCTATCCACAGAGAGGAATCAGGCAGGGGGATCCAGTCTCTCCATACCTCTATCTCGTCTGTACAGAAGGTTTATCTCAGCTAATCAAA